GCCAAAGAAGGACCGCACTCACAATTACCAGTTGCTCAGATAGCATTCTCATCGATGGTGCAGGCTCTGTATACTGCAAAGACCCTGAATATTTGACAAACCTCCAGCCACCCCAGGTCAGAGCAGTCATAACTGAGCCTTTGACGGATAAAGGGTGAGTCTATACTTTACTAGGCTGATTTGAAAGCCACTAACACTTGCCAGATGCGATCCATTCATGCCGGTTCTCCAAGGTAATTGGGAGCACCACCCAGAGCTCCTTCCCGAGGGATTGAACTCCGGATGTAAGCCCAGCGAGGGTCCAACGTCCTTCTTTGAAGTATCACCTAAAAACCGATGGGCCAGTTTGAACTTCATCAGTGCAGCAAGTCTCAAATCGTTGATCTTCTCCATTGATGAGCACCCGATGTACATCTACGAAGTGGATGGACGCTACATTGAGCCGCAGCTTGCGCATCAGGTTTCCATTTACAGTGGAGAGCGCTACTCTGCCATGATCAAACTAGACAAGGAACCCGGCAGCTATACGATCCGTGTCGCTGGTCATGATAACCAGGTCATCTCTGGCTACGCTAATCTCGCCTACAAGGGCGGTGAACATAACAAGCGCGAATCAACGGCATACATCGACTACGGTGGCACTAACACTACAGCCTCTGTGATCAATCTGAACACAACGAACCTGCCGCCATATCCTGCCATCCTACCTGCGGAGGACGGCGATGATTTCCATCTCCTGACCCTTGGACGGATCAACTCATCCTGGGAATGGACTTTAGATGGAACGAGCTTCCTCCCAGCCAATCTGAACCAGATGGAACCAGTCATTCTCAACCCCAAAGCACCGAGCCTGGATTCTGCCCTGAAGATTGAGACCCGGAATGGCACCTGGGTCGATATTGTGTTCCAGCTCGCCATCCCCGACCCAACCAAGCTTCAGCCACCCCACCCGATGCACAAGCATTCCAACAAGGCCTTTTTGATTGGCAGTGCAATGGGCAAGTTCCAGTGGGGCTCTATTGCGGAAGCAAAAGCGAGCAGCCCGGACAGCTTCTTCGAAACCCCTGTGTATCGCGATACATTTGTGACTGCGCCAAATGGAGTAGCCTGGATCGCTATTCGCTACCAAGTCGTGAACCCGGGACCATTCCTTTTGCATTGTCATATGGAGACGCACTTCTCGTCGGGTATGGGCATGGTCTTGCTGGATGGTGTCGATGCTTGGCCTGAAGTTCCTGCCCATTACCTATAGTGTGTTCTATGATTTTTCTATCCTGTCTTTGAGATATGCGGTTTTATCTTTCTAATTGGCTCCTTAATAATAATCATCTGCCAACGTTCAACCTGCTCTGGTACTAAAATACCACTGACATCATTGTTTGTTTATAACTAGAACGGGCTCTCGACCTATTCGGTGAATACGAGTTTAGGCTAAAGACGGTAGTGGGACTGGCATCATCATTGTACTCGTAGTCATAGGTAACGCCTAAGCTACGAAGAAACTTGGCCACGTGACCTTACCGGGTCACCTGACTATGCATTAAAACGCTATTATTTCAGCCCGGGAGAAAATTTGGCGACGTGACACGTACGTAAGACCTGAAGTTCTGATTTATACTTGCTTCCCTTCGCTCCGCAGTTAGCAGTGGAAACTCCTAGGGTAGAGGATGCAATTACCGTAACTTACGGAGACTCATAGGAGGAACCTACAGTGTGGTGTAATAAGTCTGTTCCCACCCGCATTTCCACCCAAGAACATTGAAATATATATCTTTACAGTAGACAGGTTGAAGTCTAGCGAAAAGATATCTGAATCTGGACTATTGCATTTGGAGTAGGGGTAAAAGTGATTTCGAATATCACTGTAATCCTTTTGATGACTGTAACTAACTAGGCAGCTTGTGGGCTTACTAAGAACCGGCGTCCTAACCTTGGAAGACTACCGACGTTATGGTTGATTCTATTGCAATGTAAACTATTAGCCTCTTCCTCAAAGTCCGTGCGACAACTCTCTACAAGGAGACTTCCACAATAGGACCTTTGTAGACGTGCCGGGCGCGCACGACGTAGTATATAATGGCGAGGAAGACGCTGCCTCCTATCGCCAGAATGCTCCAGTTCATCGTCTCCACTGTCGGGTCCATTGTACTTGGCCAGAAGCTGAAAAAGATGACGATGCTGATGTAGATGATCGCATACCCGTTGATCAGGGTACCAATGATGCCGGGGCAATGGAACGGTCCCCAGACAAGCTTCGCACCGGGAACATTGACAATATCATCATCGTTGTCGTTATATCGGGAGATGTCACCACGGATGCGGCGGTAAAAGAGCAAAACAGAAACCATCAAGTACGAGAGGTATATACCCGAAACTGCCATAGACACTATGTCCTCCATAGCGGTATCGGAACCAATGTTAATCAGGGAAAGCAACACAGCGACGGTCACTGTAAATAGGATGGCGAAAATGGGCAACTGTTTCGTGGAAGAAATCTTGAATAGCAGAATGTTAGTCCATACAAGACTTCTGATGATGGCTAAATGCTTACCTGGCTCCACCATCGCCACCCGGGGACTCCCCTGTCTCGAGAGAAAGACCAAAGCTGCCGAGACGCCGCAGCAAGTAGGCCCATGAGAGAACAGACATAAATAGTGATAACGATAGCACACATGGCCAATGAACCAGGCACCGAGTTTGTTGCTTCCATGAAGATGCCCATGAAGTTATACCCAGTGGCGCTCCCCAGCTTACCACCGAGGTCAGAATCGGTGCAGAACATCATAACAATTATCATACCAAAGCCGAGGCAGCCATTGATACCGACACTAATCATAAGGGCGTTGGGAATGACGGTCGAGGCATTTGCGACCTCCTCGGACATCTATTTGGAGGTTTATTAGCTAGAGACGTGGAAGCATAGCTCCCAAAGAAACTTACATGCACGGCGGCATCACCTCCAGCGAAGGCAAAGGCACAGCTGGTCATACCAACAAACCAGGATAGTCCTTGCGTGGCGAAGCCTCCTCCATTTTGGAAAGATAGAAAAACCTGCTCCTTTGTGTTATGATCCGCCATATAGATGAGGGGGATTATGATGCCGAAGAACCCAAGAATGTGCACAACCAAAACGATCACCTCGATGCGGGGCAGCAAGTTGCCGGGGAGCAAGTTCACGACCAATGCGAGACTGAGCGAAGCCCAAACAATCAATGTTCCTTCCCAGGGAAGAGCATTGTAGAGGTTGTTTCCTAGGATCGCGGCACCCTGGATCATCTTTCCTGTCAAAAAGGCACAGGCGGCGAAGGCACTCTGCCAGCCGAGAACAGCAAACCATCCTACGGGCTTAAGTGTCAGCGATAATTAATAGTTTCGGTCCAAGTATGAGGTAGAAGCTTACCTGTAATAAAACTCAGGAATTTCTGATGACTGCCCGGGGCAAGCATGGCAGCCCAGTGGTATTGGCCTCCTGCGGTAGGTGCCCTGTTTGACAGTTAGGTCCGAATTTAGCCGTAAATCAACGAATAATGCAACATACATGGAGGCCAATTCCGACAAGACCATGAAATTGGCGAAACAGCCAACCCACCCGAAGATGTAGGCATAGATCGCACCGCCGGAGCCACCGCTGATATATGTTAGAAAATGTTGCAAGGCAGCAGGTTGTTGTCGGGTGAACACACTTTGTCAGAGGGCCAGTAAAAGTACTGGAGACCGATTAGCGATGTATTCAGTGAAAATTTGCAATTGGACTGGCTCACCCAAGCAGACCTTCCCAAGTTCCCAGAATAGTACAGCTGAAGCCGAGGATCGACAGAATACCGAATTTTCGCTAGTCGGACGTGTCAGTAGTATGGCCAGGTGAGTTACCTTGAAGCCTGTATTGCATACCTTAAGGACTGGCCTCTTTCCCATCCGCTGGAGATGCGCATTATCACGATCCACTTGCCCCTCGCCCCTGCTGGTGACGGAAGTATTGCTCTTCAATTCATAGGCCACCATGGCTTTTTCGTGGAGGAATGGAATGGAGACAAGTGGGAAGTGAACAGAAAGTTAAATATAAGATGCAGCTGGGTTAAAAGTACAAAAACAGGCAAGGAAATGTCCATCGCCCAAGTATCGGAATGCGGGTGGAAGAGTATCCGATTTGACTAGATGGGTGTACGTTACATTCAGTAGAACTGAAAGTACGTGAGTGGATGACGCTAATGTATGATTGTTTTGATTTGATTGCGGGCGCTCTGCGCTCTGCGCTTCGCCCCAAGGAGGGCTAGGGCCCATCGTGTTCTATGTGTCGATCATGTGGACCACACGCGGGAATGATTCCCCAGGAAGCGCAGCATACCCAATTGAATACGCCACAGTCAATCATGTGGGGCATATATCGGTGATTGCTACCCATAGGGCAACAGTCAATTGATGCTTGTATGAAACTGATAAGGACAGATATGACCATACTCGGCCCTAAAAAGTACCTTGATTTTGTTGTGGTCTAGTGGTAAAATGGCTGTATCATATCCCACGGGTTGAACTAATGCGAGGGGTCGGGGGCCAGAACTCAGGGGCGAATCCTTCGAGTACAGGGGGTTGAACGTGATAAGTGTGCTGGATATTACCATATCGTTTTACAATAATTAGTCACTGTGAGAATAAACACCGATCAGTGACAAAGTAGGGAAAATGTCAAGTAGAAATCAGAGCAAACACATATAGAACACAATGCATATATATAGAGATCGATGGACTGGAAGCACAAGATTGGAAGCCCTAGAGGAATTATAACATCTCTTTAGAGATCTTCATATGCATAGTATATTAGACTGATAGGTACTGGGATGGGATTCGCATCCTGGTCGCTTTTTTCTGGGCACTATACGGAGTACCAGACGATATAATAAAAAGCACAAGGCATGTTCTCTCTTCAGCATGATGATCTTTAATACTCTCATCCTTCTTCTTTCTTCTTAAGTAATCTACCATCCTTCACATATTTCGGCTCGATGGGGACACGATTCAAAGGTGACACTAAAGATCCAGCGGTCAATGTCACCACATGGGTTCTCTTAGTCATAATCATTTTTAGTGTCTCTGCTCGACTTGGAACTAAAGTTCGACTGTTCAAGAAACTCAGCACGGATGACCTCTTGATCATTGCATCTCTGATTGTTGGTATCGGTCAGAATATCGCTGTTTCGCTGGCAGTTGGGTCCGGTTATGGAAAGCATTTCAAAGATGTATCCAGCGCCAATATGCAACAGGTGATGAAAGTACGTATCTTCCGCCATCTTGTGATTTTTCACTTCTTTGGAACCGATTTTAATGTGCTTATTGCCAGGACCTTTTCGCTGGGTCTCTTCTATACCTCCTAAGCCTCATGTTCTCGAAACTATCTCTGGTCGTGTTTATTCGGAGTCTTACACCATCCGCCAAAGATAAATGGCTCGCCCGAGGTGTGGAGGCTATCGTGTATGTCTGGGCAGTTGTTGCTATCTTTGGAACTGCATTCCAATGCTCTCTGCCCCGCGCCTGGGATTTCCAGAACGGCCAATGCATTAACCTGGTAGGTAGTGTCTCCTTTTGTCCCTATTACCTCCTATCCCCCGAAGCCGGACAATACTGACGCGATGCGACGGGGTGTCCAGTTAACTTGGCGCTACTTCATCGCTATCTCCAATATCGTTACCGACCTCTTGATTGTCGCTCAGGCAATGATCCTAATTTCTAGCGTCCAAACGACGCTGTTGCGACGCCTGGCTTTTGCGGGTATCTTCCTGCCTCGACTTCTGTGAGCGACCCGGCTCTACGGAGTGCTCTCTCTCAAACTCGAAACTCATCTCCCTCCTTCGATAGTGTAACGATCGCAACGGTCGGCGAGCTTGCCTTTATCAAAAAAGGCACTAAATCCAACGACCCAACGTTTCAGATGTGTGAAATCACTATTTTCGAAGTGACCATTCAGTGTCTCAGCATCGTGACGGCCTGTTGGGGACAACTGAGCCCGTTCCTGTCCTGGATGCGATCTAACGGGCTCAAGCTCAATGGCGTGGAAGACCCAACCTCTTGGAGCTACAAGATACGCTCGCAATCACAGGGGCGGTCCAAGTCGCGAGACCGTAAGATCAGGTCTGAAAGCCACGAAATTCACCCTTTGCCGATACGACGAGATCAGATTTTGGTCACGCAGGATTGGGAGGTCGACAGCCAGTCAAGCCAGGCGCATATAGTAACTGAGTTCGACACACACTCCTAGGCCAGCAACGGTGGCGAGTAATCAACTTAGCTAATGACTATAAATTCATCATGGGCGCGACATGCATAGGCTTTGGTAATCCCCAAATCACATGGAAATTACGTGCTGGAATTAAATCGGAAAATAATAAGAATAATGAGCACATGCCGCGTAACGATGGCTCCCGTTATAGAGACGTGCATATATGTAGTATGCCTTTTCACCTTCTAAACGAACCTTAGGGACGGATCTGGTTCCATTCGCAATCGCGATCGAGCCATCGTATGATGGGAGATGGGGCTGTCGCGGGCCAACGCATAAAATTATATACTACCGGACCCAACGCACGGTCCGAAACCCCGATTGGGGTGTTGGGGCCGCACCCTGTAGAACAGTACTTTTGTGTAGGATGCTTAACCCCCAAAAGCGGTTAGTGGAGAAAGCGCAGGGCGGAGTACTGGCCAACGCAGTGGCTAGGCTTCTCTTCCGTCCAGGCGTGCAGGGAACCCTTGCAACTAGCTCTCTTATCGGCTCGCACCTCTTCCCTCCCCGCTCCTGAACCCCTTGAAACGTATCTCAATACCCCGACCACGATTATGCGGGTTTTATTGTCACTTGGGGGCCATGTTCCTTTCTTTGTCAATTGTATTAAACAGGTCTACTGTCACGATTTGCATGATTTATCTATCATATCACGTAATGCTAACTAGAGATGGTTTGATAACTAGTTTTTTTGCTAGTTTAGTAGTTTTAGCGAGAGGTTGGTGTGAAGTGGTTGATATATCTACCCTCCTAAGTAGATTCCTACGTCTTGCTCTTTTCTTCCCCATCTACGGAGTATACTATCTTAAATTGAGTTACTCTTTACAGACTTGGCTCGGCACACCTACCCTAGTGCAAACATCCTAGTCACCGCCCTTTCGCTAGACATTTGAACACATATCCAACCCGATTTCAATATGGGATCGGCAACCAACCCTCTCGTGCTAGAACTAGCGACACCAGAAGATGTCCCTGCCATCACTGAGCTATGGTTTGCTGCATTCACGCAGCCGGTGATTGGGAAACTTTTCCCCAACACTCCCGGTATGCACCAATGGCACCGGGATTGGCACTTGGGGGATATTCAGAAGTCCCACTACAGATACCTGCGAGTAGTGGACACCCAGTCAAGAGATGAGAAAGGCCGACCGCGGCTAGTTGCCTTCGCCAAATGGGACCTGGCCATGCCAAATGAGCGAGGTCGTCGCTTTCCGCATTGGCATGAGGACTCGCCTTACCAGGAATGCGAGGATTTCATTGCAGAACTGGAGCAGGCGAGGGAAAGCGTCATGGGCGATGAGAAACATTACTGTATGAATGATATCCCTTTAAAGTTCACAAAGGAAGAAATGATCACTGACATCCGAAAAAAAGACCTCGATACCCTTGGCACTCATCCTGATTATCAACGGCGCGGAGCTGGCTCTATGCTTGTCAAGTGGGGCTGCGACCTGGCGGATAAGGATGGCGTTATGGCATACGTTGATGCCAGCAAGGAGGGAGCATTTCTATACCAGAAACATAACTTTGTGGATTTCAGTCCGCCCGGTTCGGAAGTGGCTTCGATGGCTCGCCGCCGTCAGGTGACTCCGAGCGATCGCACTTGACTTACGGACTTAGAGTCCATGCTGCGAGATCTCTCATCGAAGATAAAGCCATGAACACATTTGAACCCACTGGCGGATTGTAGCTCGCCTATTGTTAGGTTTCTGTCTAGCAAGCATATATAATTTATGCCCTTCCCTGCCTTTTTTGCTGTCCACCTAGCAAGAACAAGATACTTTAACAGAAGGGCTACTCACACACTATTTTTCGCTAGTAACACACATTCACTAGTCCCGGATAGGGCTGCTGCCTGGATCAAAACATTTGGTATACAACCCCGGGGCTTGATGACAGCGTTATATTTGATCACCCAATCGTCTATCATGGCAGACCATCATTGCTTGTTGAAACCTTCACTGTAAATATGAGGCATACTGGTCAATCGCCTGCCTTGACAAGTAGTCCAAACACTGGACTGCCAGGATGGCCACATATACGGCAAAAAGCGCCCATATATACATGTACGTCTGGCTGGGGGTAATTTTGAGCAAGCGCTCAAGGACCACCGGAGATGCAGGGTGATCATCCCGCGCGGGGGGGAGGCTCGTTGATAGGGGCAGCAGACGCGAAGCACATCTTAGATAGACCATATCACGTTGGCAAAAAAAAATATATGCCTAGCTCTCTTCCAAACTCCACTTGTCTCAAGGAAGACGGTCTGATCATATATTGTCAAGAAGGCATGCTTGAGCTGCATGGAGTCTTCTTATATGTATCGTGTAAGCTGGCCTATATAGCGTTAGAGTCTTGAACCTCAGGTTGGAGAAAAGTTATTACCGATTGACCATATAGAAGCGGAATTTCACCCGGGTGTGACATGCCAGATGTGAGAGTATATCAATTCAAAATCAGGAATAGGTAGGGAGAGATAGAGATAGAGCAGGTGCAGAAGTAGGAAAGGCCTGCTTATATAGCTGGCCACTTCTGTAAACATGTAAACATTGAACACCGACAGCCCTGCCTGCGAAACAGGTGTGAGAGCAGAGTCGTCACTGGGAGTAATAGGGTGATTACTGAGAATGGAAGTGGAAAGGTGTCTGCGTTGCTATCTATGCCTCGGGAGTGCTTTTATAACGTAATTCCCAAGCGAGCTGCGCAGCGCAGAACACATAGTAAAATCGATAAATTACAACATGATATCTCAACAACGGTTATCTATCTGAGCTTTTCCTTCTAGCCTAATGCTTGTAATATGATATCTAGCCACTTATGAGGGTTTGGAGGGATTTAATAAACTAGTGAATGAGTAGTGACAGAGAAATATATATTTCTAGGGTTCAGCGATGTATTTTTCGATACCATAACAATGCAAGTTTTCATGACACTATAAATGCTTATCAATTGCTATCGGACAGTAATGAAATTAAATAAAAGCGTTGGTTGTTGAAATACCATGTTATAATTTATCGATTTTACTATGTGTTCTGCGCTGCGCAGCTCGCTTGGGAATTACGTTATCACATAGCCGCTTAGTCATCCTGCTCTGGAAACCCCCACTGCAACATGTAAATAAGGGCTATATGTAAACATCGATCTCTGACTTACCTAGCAAACAATATATAAACAGAGGAAAGAATCAAGTAAGCAGAAATTAAGCAAGCAGGCAAGCAATGTTCAAGCCATCCGTAGAGTCATATCATACAGATCGTGACACGGTCATAAAGTTAGAGCAAACCTGATAATGATATCACGAGGCGATTTGAATCATAATCCAAGCAGTTACCTACAGTAGAATTCTAAGGTAACTAGAAAGATGACATCCGTGGTTACTCCAGCGCATAAACTTCTGCTTTTCTTTCCATTGAATTTTCTCTTTGCATCATCAGTCCATGTCTCCATTCCAAAATGGCAACCAAAAAGACAAAAACATACAACATTGACGATTCGCTGGTGGTCACCCACCCAACTATTAACTCACCGGCGTGTGACTCAAGTTCGATCAATAGTTCGGTGGATGTCACCCGAGTGAGCAAAAGGGTGAGGCTGCTTTTGATTGGCGTCACCCTACGCACATAGGATGCGGAATAGAGAGGGTGCGAGGGAGGTTCCTTAATTAGTTACTTCATCGCTGAGCGATATGTAGGCTACTACAAATATTTGTATTCTTGAATATACACGCAAGACCGTTTGCTTTATTTGCTTGCTTGCCTTTCGCTTATTCATCTTGAAGGGGTTGTTGTGTGGTTTGCATTGTGGAGTTTGGTTATTATCGCTCGGTGTATGCCTCTCCACCTTTCTTCCTACTCTCCCGGTCTTTATTATTTTCGTCGATACCACTCTCTCTCTCTTTTGATTGAAGACCCGGCTTGCCTCGGCGAATACTGAAGAGGCATGGATTCGAAGAATTCAGAACATGACCCTTGAGAGAAAGGAAACCGACGACACCGGGAAATTTACAACGTTGATGCGATTCTATTCGCAAAAGTCCATCTTAGAAGGTTACTGGGTAAAGAATCAGATGGATGAGGCAAATTAATCCCAAATATATGTTATATTACTGAGCGAAGCGAGGCAAACTATTATTCTATGTGTCTCATCAACAAGTAACCTAGCACATACGACCATAGGGTGTGGAAAACAGGGCTTCCCGTCCGCTCAGCCGTACTTAAGCCACACGCCGGTGAGTTAGTAGTTGGGTGGGTGACCACCAGCGAATCCTCACTGTTGTATGTTTTTGTTTTTATTATTTGTTCAGTACGGAGTATAGCAATAGTATGTTTATCTTAGGCCCCGTTGTGGACCTCTATAAATAACTTATTTTAGGAAATGAAGCTTAACGAGACATGAGAGCAGAAGGTAGGTAGGCTCAAGGGTAGAGGAAAAGTAGAAACTGACATGAGAGCACTTGATGTATCTATCTGACGCTATGACCATCAAGGGGCAGAGGTCACCTGACCCAATAGTCTTCTTACCATCCCATCTACGGCTATAGTCTATAGTTCTCAGCTATTATACTCCCCTCCAGTGCTATACCAAATACATACGACCATAGGGTGTGGAAAATAGGGCTTCCCGTCCGCTCAGCCGTACTCAAGCCACACGCCGGTGGGTTAGTAGTTGGGTGGGTGACCACCAGCGAATCCTCACTGTTGTATGTTTTTTGTTCACGTATTCTTTTCTATTCGTTCAGAAACACCCTCTTTTTCTGTTATTAGATATCCGCAGGTCGGAGAGCACGGGAAAATATCTGACATCAGGATGAGTCGTTCACGAGGTGGACCTCAATTTCAAGGACGGTCTTCCCTCATCTCCTAAACTAAGTTGATTTGAACTAGATACGTCTCTATCCTCTTCACCCAACATGGATATAACCTGGTCTCAACTGGCACACAGCTTATACGGTCAACAAAAACTCAACATGCAAGCTACGGACGAGCCGACTCAATCAGGAATTGACTTGACCCTGCCTGAAGAGAAAACTCAAGATGAAATCAAGATCGAACAGAGTGGATGTATTCATGCTCTTCAACGGTATCGGTGGAACGTGTATTATGAAATGGACGATCTCGACGAGGAAAAATGGCTTGAGCTTCTCCGGATAGAACAAGACCTTCGAAGTACTGTCCAGGAAGAGCAAATCCTCGCTAATAAGACTAAGACCACGTGCAGCTGGCAAATCTTTCGGAATGATACACAGACCGAGCTTCAGGCTTGAACAAGAGATACTGGTTACTAGAACGACAGTGGTGGAAAGTCCGACACTCATTCGAAGGGGGACCGCTGATACGAGGGTTTGACTTATGGCGATCACATCCTCTATGGTATATGCACCGAGTCTTGGTTGAGGATTGCGTGAGGAGGGGGGGGTGCTGTGGCCGCAGCTGCGGATGTTGCGTTAATCGCAAGATTGATAAGACACGACAGCTTGGAGCTGGACATTGTATGGTGGTATGTGGATGTTGTCACCAAGCTCGGGGTTTTGAGCTTACTAAAAAAGAAAAGATGGGATTCCTTACGGATTTTCATGTCGTGGACGACGGCAGTGGCTACCGCCGAAGGATCAGTCGAGCTTCAATATGGGGATTATCTCTTGATGGTCATGACAGCGTTGTTCCAAAAGAGCAGCTGACAAAAGGCAAGGCTGAACAAGTCGATGAAGCGTTTATTCTTATTGGCGAAGAGGAGAAGGAGGAAGTTGGCGAGGTGCCTGCCTGGTTTCCATCATTTATTTTGCAAACTCTTTCTTTTATCTCTGAATGCTCTTGTTGTGGTAGCCACGGGCCGAACACATGCCGTTGCCTGGTTTGCCAGGCTTCACCTAGCTATTTAGCTAGATCTCGATCATTGTAGAGAATCTATCCTTCTTCATCTCTCTTTCACCGCTACAAGAGCTCTGATCTAAACTGGCAGTTGCCCCCGAGGTTTAACCTCTATACGGTTCCTTCCTATTCAGGAACAGTCGTTCCTGCTATTCTAGTTCACGGCTCACGTGCACCTTGCTACCTACCTGTCAGAGCACTTTTAGATTCTGTAAACTTCCCCATCAGCATCACTCTCTAGATTCATCAAAAAAAGCCATCTGAGATCGTAAGTCTCCCTTGCAGTCTTTCCAGCAGTCTTTCCACCAGTCCTTTTGAAGGGTTCGTTTTGCTAACGTCTATCTTCCATGTCTTTTGCCTCTGCTGCCCCTGTCACTGAGCCCTGCACGTCATCCACTATCCTTGCCCTTCAAGAGGCAATCACCGAAGTCCTGTTGGCCCTTTCCCCACACGAAGCCATATGGTTTTTATGGCAGATGCTCGGGCTATATATATGCCTCCTGCTTGCATGGAGGGTTGATCAACTTCTTGAGAATATGATTTACCAGTATGCCTCATTTTCTTTTGGAGCTCTGTGAAGTCGGATACTTACAGAATTTACAGTTATTGTCCTCCTCCGAACGCTGGAGCACGCCGAGCACTGTTAAGTAGAGTTCTAGAGAGCAGGCAGTGTAGACGGATCATCACCCCTGAAACGAGAAATGAGTTGCGAGATGCTTGTGCACTAGGAGATTGTATACTATGGTGTGGTCTATGTGATACGTATGCTTGCTAGCCGGCCGTCCTGGATGGTTCGTGTTGTTGTGTCGCTCTCGTCTTGCCTGCTTGGCCAGGCTGCCCATCGTGCATATCCCTCTTCATTATAAAGATTGATGTCTTATTGAAATTTGATAGAAAGGCAAGAACTCCTTGTATTTTTTAAACCCATTTTATTCGGATTCATCAACCCGATAGACTAGCTTAGAGGCTCGGACTTTACCTTCCCGTAATATCTGAATACCAGCCAACGCACCGGCCAAGCCGCCTGGCTTCACCTGATATGGATGGGGATGAATGCGGCGGCCCTCAAGTAGGCTCTGCGCTGCATCCCACCATTTGATGCCGAATTCAAGGTTAGCGCTATCAGGAGATATCTCGGTCGTTCCCATACGATAGGGTTCCCCCAGGATGTCGTACGCCATTGAGACATGTGAGTCAACGTCATCTCTCGCGGATGAAACATCTAGCAGGGCGTTATAGGAACCGCCCGCCGAGGAAATGGCAGCGCTGCAGATGGCAGCAGATTGGGGCGTCGAGATTGTATCAAGAACGAATTCCAGGGCATCATCAGTATCCTCTCGGATCTGCTCGCCCACCAGTGGATCGTGGTAATCAAAAATTGCGTCTGCCCCAAGCTCAAACATGAAGCTGCGATTGGCTTCAGAGCATGTTGTGACAACTCGCAGTCCCGATAGTTTTGCCAATTGGATCGCGAGTGTACCGGTAGCAGTTGCCCCTCCATAGATTAGGATATTTGTGTCGTCTGACTCGCTCGACTGATCCCCGGGGAAAGGCAATTCCATGCTCTGGTAAAAATTTTGGCCAACAGTTGTCAAACCAACACCAAAGGTAGCTGCTGCCTCAAAGCTCATGGACTCAGGTATCAACATTTGGAGATCGCCCTTTGCAATAATATACTGAGCAAATGCGCCGCCATTGTGGCGAACGGCATTGCTACCGTGTACAAAGCCAGCAACTCGATCGCCCTTTTTGAAAGGCTTTTTGACGAGCGGCCCCACGGCTTCTACTATTCCGGAATAGTCACAGCCCACCGTGGCCCCGGTACAGGGTACAAAATCAATATGGCGCCAGTCCGTTGGATTCAAAGCGACTTCGTACTTGTTAGTTCAACTATTCATAAAGCTCGGGAGCGAAGAAGGGCACAAGGAGAAAATACCGGCTTTTGTTTTGACGAGAATGTAATTATTCGGCAGCTTAGGGAGTGGGACATCTACCAGCGTCGCGCGACCAGGTTCTTGGACGACAATGGCGCTTTGGGTGGTCATTCTCAACAGATGTCGCGATGCGAGGGAAAATGAAGGGTGCGAGAGAGGTGGGGGTATGGCTCTAATTTCTTTAGATAAATCGTCCAAATGGCATTGGGGGTTGCAAAAGGGATGTATACTATTGCACTCCGTGCGCAATTCTCCGTACGCGGCCTGGAATTACTCCGTAGAGTTATCCATGATTCCGGGCGAGATTGAACTATTGGAGAGCTCAGACAAAGTACGGTTTGCCGCGCGATAATCTATCTGGCTAGCGTAGACTACTGCGTGTAGCTTCCAGGATCGTCGAAATACGGAGTATTGTAAGTGATCTGCGTGGAGGGGAGGGGCAAGCAAGTATTAGTAGCTTCAATAAAGTCAATTAATCAATTACTATTGTCGAATGTGCTCCGCAGCCTAGAAGATCTCATCGTGATATTGAGACCGGGTAGCGCGGGCGACGCCAGTAAATGGTCCCTCAGTTACCACAGCCCAAACATCACCGACGCGAGATTAGACTACAATGATAACAGCCCAATGGATAGCCCTCGAGATAGTGCAACAGGCAATATTGAGATTCTCCAAAATACATCCATGTTCTCCGTACGGAGTGCGGAGCAAGGGAATCGCAAGTACCCGGGGAGTCCGAAAAGTGGAACTTGTCTCAAATAGGGGGCTGGGAAAAGAAAGTGGTTGCTCCACTACGGGATGGGGATCCCCTCATGAAAAAATCATAAGAAGAAATTCTGATAGGCGATCTTCGGCTACAAACATTGGCTTGGTGCAGCTTAGCACAGCTTAGTGTCATAATATAGTGGAGCAGGCCATGCAGGTCGATGGAGCATGGAACATTTGGCAATCGTGAAATACAATGACCGATACTGGTAATGGCTTGTCACAGTATAATTTATAACGTATGTCTGGTCTATCTTGAGGGATGGACGATCCAGTTCGTTGATCTATGGAGTAGACAGTCTCCACTTGGCAGCATTTTCGTAATCTTGGCCTCATTGGCATCCGAGCAGATTCCAACCTGCAGAATATCATGGAACTGGGTATAGAATCAGAGCTGTACGAGTATGGAGAATGAAATCCAACAGCATTAGCCATATCTATGTTCCGGACTTGTTTCTAGCGTAGGAAACATAATCTTACCAAGCCAAACTCCAACGGATGTGCAGAGTACGGAGTAGATTGAATGCACGAGGTGCATCGTCCGTTTTTCTATGAGTCTCCACTGCATGTTCTCCGATAGCCAGTAAAATATGCATGAATATGCGAATTTACGCATTAATGGTATTAGGCTCAGAGGCAGTTTCATGGCAATCAGAAGAATCCAAAACATTGAGTATAATAACCCACAGCATCCCTTCTTATTCTTGTCCACGCTCGTCCTCAATTATTCCATAGCCCGAAGATGCCTGGCCAACCGGCAACGACTTCTGCACCTACAGATATGGAGGGAATTGCAGTCATTGGAATGGGGTGTCGCTTCTCTGGAGGAGCGACCTCCGTTGAGAACTTCTGGCAGATGCTATGCGACGGACGCACTGGGCATGGGACAGTTCCCACAAGCCGATATCAAGCTTCGGCCTGGCATCACCCCAGCCATGAACGCAAAGGAGCGGTATGAATACCTCAATTAGATGTTAGTTTACTATTCTAACAGGATGAGTAGATCAATCATGATAGTGGGTTTTTCTTGCAGGAAGATCCATCACGGTTTGACGCTCCTTTTTTCTCTATCACTGCCAAAGAGGCGGCGGGCATGGACCCAGCACAACGTTTGTTGCTCGAAGTTGCATATGAAACATTCGAAAACAGTAAGTTGAGTGATTTTCACGTTTCCGGAATGAAGTCAGCTAATAGGGAAAAATAGGCGGAATACCGATAGACACGCTTCCAGGCAGTAACACGGCAGTGTACTCCGGCTCAATGACCAATGACTATGAGCTATTGTCAACAAGAGATATCTATGATATGCCTCACAACTCGGCCACTGGTAATGGAAGGACTATGCTGGCAAATCGGTTGTCATGGTTCTTTGATCTTCAAGGCCCAAGTATCATGATGGACACTGCGTGTTCTTCAAGTTTGACTGCGGTCCACCTAGCAGCTCAATCCTTGCGATCTAGAGAGTGTGGAATGGTGAGCACTGCAATCTGCATGTCTATTGATCACACAGACTAAACATGCTTGTGACAGGCCTTGGTGACTGGTGCCAGTCTTATCTTGCACCCTAATTTTACACAAAGACTCTCCTACATGCACATGATGAGTGCAGATGGCATAAGTCATTCATTTGATGAGTCTGCAAATGGATATGGTCGGGGTGAGGGCATCGGTGCTGTGCTTTTGAAGCCCCTCAGCGC